TCGGCGCCGACCCCAAAACCTGCTGGGGAGGGTGCCTGGGGCGACGGAGGATCTGGGTGCAACTGCGGGGGGCAGGGCGTAGAGCGCGCTCGCCACGGTCACGGTGCGCGACCAGCTGGTGTTTTTCCCGAGGGGGGTCACCAGGGCGCGAAGTGCGGGACCTTCTCCAAGGAGGTGACTTGGTGGGGGGTGAGGGGGGCAGATGATCCTAGAGGAGGCGGAGGTGTCTCAGGGCCTTGCGGATCCTGGGAGGAGGGAGTATTGGGGGAGGTGGATGGGGCGACTGTCACTTGCTCATTCACTCCATCCCTAGGCAGGGAATGGGGCTTCCCACCAGTGGGCTTCATTGAGTCATTCATTAACTCGGCAAGCTTCTAACGAGTGCCTACTGTGTGCTAGGCCATGGGGGTTCCCAGACAACCCTTCTCCTGAGGCTCCAGCATCTGATAGATAAGGTGGGTGGTCACCACCTCAGCCTCAGGGTCCCCCTACTCAGGAGGGGCTCCGCCTGGATGGATTGGAGCTTTGGCGTGAGAAAGGAAGGGAGAAAAGTTCATTCGCTCATTCGTGGATTGGACAAAGATTGCCTGAGCACCTACTATGCACAGCTCACCCTGCCAAGAGCCCTAGCAGCTATTATTTCATTCATTTAACAAACAGCTACTGAGGCCCGTGCTGGGGCGAGAACATGAAAGGAGAAGGATGGGGTGGGGACGGATAGGGCAGAGGGCAGCTGACAGCTAAAGAGAATTAAGACGCAGCCCTCCCTTGAAGAGCCCCCAGCGTGTGGGGTGTCTGTCCCAGCAGCCCCCGTGTGTGTAGGGCAGAAAGTCAGTGGACACGATGTAGAAGGGCCCTTCCGTGGCCATGGAGTGTGTTCATTCCCCAGAGGAGAAGGCAGTCTGGAACAGGGTCTAGGGTAGAAGGTAAGGGTCTTTCAGAGGCGCCTTAGGGGCGGGTGGGAATGGGGAGGAGGGTGAGAAACACTGATCTAACATTACAGAGGAAGGAAGGCTCCTACCCATGAGGCCCTGAGTTAGCTGTCCATTCAGCAGGCATTTCCTTAAACACTTGCTATTCTTACGCACTTGCAGGGTGCCAGGCACCTAAGTCACCCAGGTGGATGAGACAGACCCAGAGACACCCCCGCCCCCCGCCTTTGCTGACACCTTGAGATAAGTTCAGAGGGAGTGAGAGGAGGGAGCGGGAGCTGATTCATTGCACACTGGGAGGGATAGGGGGAGGCTCCTGCCTCTGTGAATCTGAGCAGAGGTTTGTCACAGGGCGTGTTTGATACCCACACACGTTACTGCAGTCAGAGCCACTATGGGCAGCCTCCCCAGGGAAAGTTTCTCGCTGCTGGAGACCAGCCCCACTGCCGGGCCAGGGGAGGGGCACGTGGCCAGGGCCTGGACTTCTCAGGCTGTGCTGGACCCGAGC